TGGAGGAAAGCTTTGCACTTCGATGGTGCAAAGCAAAGTCCGAAGCGACTGATAGCCAGTACTAATCTGTTCAGGGTAACTTGGCAAGTCTGGGAGCTGTTACAGATGAGAGTAATATCGCCTGCATATTCCAAGTCAAGATGTCGTTCTCATGGGAGTAGCTCCACACATTTTAAGTCGCCTCCTGTGAATGCAACCCACATGAGTTCGTCAATGGCGAAGCTGAAGGGAAAAGGTGACAGCTGGCGTCCTTGTCTCACACCGCTGGAGATGTAAGTGGTTGGGGGATTTATTAGGTTTTGTATAATTTCGTCGCAGTTAGACACAGGCAGACAGCCACCACACATCCAGGAAAGCGCTAGACGGCCTTTTCGTCCTATTGGGACTCGTCAGTAGCGCACACCCGCCGAATCCTGCCGGATTCGAACCCACGACCTTACTCTTGCGAGTCAGCGAGTTATGTCACTGAGCCATGGGTGAGGGCAGCGGACCGCCATGACTGATATCTAACTGCGATATAGCGCGGCTCATCCTCCACTGTCCTGCATATTATGAATGTGCAGAGGACAGGGCTGGCCCCCAGAGCAACGACTTCCTTTGCAAGCCGCCACCAATCGAGGTGGCATGTAAGCTGCTAAGGCGACTACTGATTATTTGTAAGTAGTAGGGGGATTTATTAGGTTTTGTGTAGATTCGTCGCAGTTAGACACAGGCAGGCAGCCACCACACATCCAGGAAAGCGCTAGACGGCCGTTTCGTCCTGTCCTCTGCACATTCACAACATGCAAGACAGTGGAGGATGAGCCGCGCTATATCGCAGTTAGATATCAGTCATGGCGGTCCGCTGCCCTCGCCCATGGCTCAGTGACATAACTCGCTGACTCGCAAGAGTAAGGTCGTGGGTTCGAATCCGGCAGGATTCGGCGGGTGCGCGCTACTAACGAGTCCCAATAGGACGAAACGGCCGTCTAGCGCTTTCCTGGATGTGTGGTGGCTGTCTGCCTGTGTCTAACTGCTACGAAATTATACAAAACCTCTGGAGATATTGAAGTGTGGCGAATAGCTTGCCGTAAGCCCTCACTCTGCCCGCGCTACGCGCGTATAATGGTCGGATAATATTCACATATTTCTCGGGTACATATTTCCTGAGTGGACAGTCTCAAATGATAAATCAATTAACCGAATCGAAGTTACTTTTGATGTCGATGAACACGACTAGGGTATGCTGCCAATATGTGTTACGATGCTCCAACCATTGACGCAAAGTGAAGATGTGCTCGATGCAGCCGCGACCCCGACGAAACACAGCTTGCTCATCACGAATCTGGTTTTCATGAGCGCCACTCAGTCTGTGAATGATTACAGAGGTAAGTAATTTGGAGGCGATGGAAATCAAACTGGTACCTCTATGGTTTCTGCATTCCGAACGTTAGCCTTCTTTGTAGATGGGAGAAATAACAAAGCGGCTCCAGCTGGATGGGACAATTTCCTGCTCCCACAGTTTCACTAGTAAATAGTGTAAGTCAGCAACAAGAGCAGGGCCCCCGAATTTGAGGTGGGCTGGATGTAGACCATCTGGGCCCGCGGCTTTGTTCTACTTCAACAGTCCGATCTCACGTTTGGTTTCTGAGTGTGACAGCGGATCCAAAGCGACAGCCGACGGAGCAAGGCCATCACTGGTCGATGAGGAATGTACCAATTCCGACCGATTAAATTGCTTTTCCAGATGCTCAGCCCAACCCTCCAAACCGTTTATCAAATCATGGATAGGCTGTCCACTCTCGTCATAAATTGTTACACTAACACCATGTTTCTTGCGGCCCGTTTACCGTATCAGACGGAATAACTTTTGATAGTTACCAAATGGCAGCGGTCATTGCCATTTCTGACGCCCGAAGAGACCACCAGGATTCGCGGTCTCTCTTCAGGCTAGCACGGAGTTTTGCCCGTAGCTCTTTGCGAGTTTCTCTGTGTTCGCTTCTAGCTGAAATATGCCGGCGAGCATCGATAAGTTCCAGAGACTGGGAAGGGACCCAATATCCACGTTGGCTATTAGATGTATCACGTGAGGATTTTCCTGCTGGTAGTGAGGTCTGGTGAACATGCAACCAGTGAAATTCAACTGTCTCTAGTGAGCGCTTACTCGACCCACATGTCAGCTTATTTCGATGCGCATACAGAACAGCAGGCTTCGCCAGTTGACTGGTGTTAGTGCGTTCACGTCGTCGTGGACGTCCGCCAAAAGGCATCCGCATGTCAGCATATACAAGTGCACGGTCGGTGTAAGCACATGTGCTCCAATTAGAGTGACAGTTCTGAATGCAGCCTCTCCAGCGGTAACTGATAGCAATGTGGTCGATCTGCGTCCAAGGCTGGTTCGAGGCTGGTGGCCGCCATGTCACCCTTCTGCGGGTGCTCTGTCGGAACTTAGTGCTCGCAAGTAATAAGCGGGAATTTTCATACAAATGAAGTAACCGTTCATCCTTATCATTACGGGAGTCTACACCGTGCTGGCCGCCCAGATGCAGTTCAGCAATGGATAATTTTCCAATTTGAACGTTCAGATCCCCTGACAGCACAAAGATGTCCGTGCTTCTTCTGTGGTGAAGGAGCTAGGTCAGTTGCCGGTTGAAGTCGTACTTTACCGATTCATCTCTAGTATGTGGGTGCATAGGCAAGGATGACGAGTACACACCTATTAGTCCCACGCCACTTCGAGTTTTGAACGAGCCAGCTAATCGGACCTCACAAATTCGCTATTGATTGGGATCCAATCAACCAGAGCAGCTTCAATCCGGGGACTCAGGGAAATACCAAGACCGACTTGGCCGGTGGTTGTAGCTGACCCGTCACCGGATATGCGCAATGAGAAACAACTGCTTGTGTCACCAGAAGGGGATGGCAAAGTGAGCACAGAGCTCGAGTCTTGCAGGCGGATATCTGATAAGCAGCAGATATCGATGGAGAGGGTCTCTAATGTTCGGGCAAGTGTTGCCTGTTGACCGACCTGTAGCAATGTGCGTACATTGAGGCATGCCAATCTGAAGGATGATCGAGGGCTCCAAATGGAAGTCGATGAACTGGGCTTGGCCGCTTAGTTGGACATGGGCTTGTCGACAGGACAGGAATGACGCACCGCGTTCACATGTGAGTTGAAACTAGAAGGTAAAAGCCTAGCAAAGCAAGGTGGGGGAGGGCCAAGAATTGGGGGGTTGAAAACTGGAGGGATAGAAGTGAAGCTGGAATGGGATGGTAAGAGAGAAAGAGCGTAATAGGGGAATAAGAAGATGGGAAGGCTTGAGCAGTAGCATCCAAACCCCTATCCATCCTGCTCGATGCAGCAGATAGGGCACCGCTGATTATCTTCTGCGGTAGCCAGAGCATCAAGAAATTGTTTGAAGAGCAATTCATTGTATTGCGTGGGCAGGATACTGTCAGGTTGCCCAGGTCTAGAGAGGAGAACGATTAGGGTTCTCAACAAAAGCCTTTGCTTCAAAAACCTGACCACAAGGCAGCGGGTTTGGCGTTGGGCTACAAGGAGTCCGTTTTAAGGAATAAGGTGCCACCCTCATTCCAACCTTCAACCTGGAGGACCAGGAGGCTGAGTTTGTCTGGCCTCTAACCATTGAGCACTCTGGTATGAGTGACTCTGAAGGTGCAAATACACCACCCAGCATATCTCAGTGGATCACTGAGGCACACAAACCATCGCACCACGGTAAGTTCTAGCCTCGTTGCGCAAACTGAGCACAACGCGATCAGTTACCGATGCAGTGGCTGTGTCTAAACATGTCACCCGAGTTGGAGCACAAGTGTGGAATCCTTGCCGTTGTATATGCTGATCTCCGGGTGCGGTTCGGCAGATGCCCGCAACGACGCTGTGATCACACGGACACTCGCCAAATGGCGAAGCAAAGTGTTTTGAATTAGTATCAAATTGTGATGATATTCCGGTTAAGTGCTCACTGAACGCAGATGAAGATAACTGGTTGCACGTTTGCAAAACGTTATTAGTAGCATGCATTTCTTCATGTGATAAACCTTATTGTCAACCCGAACATGGAAATTCTGAATGTTCGCCGACAAATTCCGGCTGGGAAAGAACGCAAAAAGACTAGCAAAGATCTGGGTGCATATCCGCTGGCCTGGTGGCCTCATCACACGTCGGCGATTGAAACAACTGCTTCTACTAGTATCCCTTAGAACTTAATCAGTCTGATATGGCAAACGGGTAACAGGAGGTCTGAAGTTAAGAATTGGGAATCAAACAGTACTAAACATGCGGAACGCAAGATAAAACAAAACGATAGGTTAAAATCAAGCCAATGCAACAGCTTGCTTCAGTTGCTTCTGTGCACCAAATACCGGGCCATATTTCGAGATAAATAAGACCTCGGTGATAGACATTCTTTCTGGGTTCCGGATTACTTCGGAGAAGTATAAGGGAGTGTCGCGGTGTATTTGGACCTCAAGTCCACATGGTCACCACTTAAGCCATCTCTTCGCCAGACATGAAGAAACCGTTCCGCTGTGAAGCTGAGCAAAGTGATCATTAATGGTACCTGGGTTACTCTTGCTAGCTGAGTCACTACCTTAGAGCTAGCTCTGTTTGTAGTCTTGCTGGATAGATCAGAGGCATCTTTGTACAAACGGGTTTTTCTACGCGTGTTAGATGACTACCAATCACGCACACGGTCTAGAGTTGCAGCACAACCGAGTACTAATTCGTGTAGCTTAGCTAATCTCCAAAGGAGTTTATACTGAGTGCCTTGCCCCCGTGGTGAGACTCCGGCTGGAGCGCTACAGTAGGGTTAATACCTTAGTAAGTTGCATCGCATCGGAGTGTGTTCGACGAACGTCATCAGCCATGTGCAGCATGCTCATCTGGAATTACTGTGTGAATTTTATCCTGGTTTACATTAGCCGTGCGGTGTCTTACGAAGGATACAGCATTATAATAACGAGGTCACACCTGCAACGCTGTCTCATGTATTTCATACCTGCAAGTTACGTTGTTCCACACTACAGGTGGCTATCATCGAAGTCATACAGTTTCCACCCAGGCTGTCGCGTAGCACTAATGTCATCATGCTGTTGCGATACGGAACATGTGATCGCTGTTTTTCCGACAAAGCCACGATCACCTGCAAGTTGGAAACAGACAGAAAAATGGATTAGTATAGAAGATTGGTGATACAGTACTTTTAGTGGACCAGTTATGGAAGTCTTTCAACTATTGATCATGTCAATCGTACCCAAAATTCCGAACGATACATGTAACAGGGTCAGTCTGTCATAGGAGTTCACCTGAGACGAGACAAAGGATTCTTGGATGAGTAAGTATAGAACCCCATCACAAAGAGGCTGGACCAAAACATGCTGTGACTGTTTGCGTACCTCATTGACTCAGAGAGCTATACTGGGTGGGGTCCTTGGGTCTCTTAAGATCTACTTACACCAGGTTGCTCAATGGTTATAGGTTAGACAAACGCAGTCTCCTGGTCCTCCAGGTTTGGGGTTTGAAATGGGATAGCGTGCATTTCTGTAAAACAGTATCGTTGCCACATCCGTTGCTTTTCGGGCAGACTTTTAAGCCAAAGGCTTTTTTTGGGGACCCTAATCGTCCTCCTGGCTGTCTGGGCATCCTGGTAATACCTCACCCATTGTACAACCATGATGACTTCTTCGAACTTCAACCGTTTCCTGCATCGGCCGTCGCGCAGATTATCAAGGGTCACCTTATCTGTTGTATACAGCAGGACGAATAAGTAAAAATACGCTACTGTTGGTGCCTCCATTCTTACGCCCCTCCCAACCCCAATTACTAACCTTCCTTCCATAATTTCCAGTTTAATCGACGGCAACCGTAATGCCGCTGGAGTAATACCATTTGCATCTATGATCTCGCCCAACACGCTGGACACTAATTGTCAACAGCCGCTTATAAAGCCACACTGTCCCTGGCGGAGTTAAACGCTCGCACTCTAAGGCAAACAGGTCAAAAGTATGCACCTGCGCGCACGTTGCACACGCTGAGTATTGACGTGTGCTGCGGGTTCGAAACTAGGATCAATGAAGCTCACAGGGTTGTTGAATTAATTGTACCCGGGTCGTCCTCTCGCTATTGGCCGCACGCATCCGGAGACGCTGATGCGCCAACCACTGGTCAAGCTGGAGTGAGCACTGTTCTCAGCTCCAAGGATGAGTCATCATTGGCTGTTTTAATTCTCGTCAGCAGTCGTTTATGTGCATTCCGTTTGAGGACATCAAATAAGGCTGAGTCACGGAGCTGCACTAGACATTGGTTGTTTGTATTTTCCACTTATATCCCTACCGACTGCAGTTTTGATGCTGCAAAGGACGCTTCTACCACGAATTGAACACGCGAATACAAAGTGTTACCAGTTCAGGTATCATAGTTCTTGCAGGGGATATGAAAGCACAAGTAGGGCGTAGCAGCTCTTCAGAGGCTCAGCTAGATGGTAAGTAAGTAGTTAGCTCCAACGGACGTATAACGGCGAACGTGTGTTATTGCTGTGTGCAGAGCGCTAGTTGTTTCTTTGTAGTACCCCTTTTAGACACAGTGGGCGCCGACGTGCCACCTGGCGTCCTCCTGCAGCTGACCAGCGTTGGACCAAAATAGGTCACGTTGCCATAAGTTACAGGTGGCGTGGTTACATGCTGGATTGTAGCTCAAACTGGAGTAATATCGACGGTTCTGACCATGTCTTGGTATGCTGTCTTTTTTCTAGGACTTTTACCGGGCCGCGTAACAAGCGCTTGCCTCTATTGCTAACTGAGAAATTATCTCGGTTCTCTCTCAGACAAGCCTACCAGGATGCTCTGGGTACTGAACTTTTGCTCTCTTGTCCTGATGACACTGAGGTTCATTGGAATTGGATCTCCGCCGCCAAGCAACATGCAGAAGCCTCCGCTTGCGACACTATAAATCGTCACCTCAACAGTCACTGGATATCCGAGAGGTCGGCCAAGATGTTGGAATCCAGAAGAAATCTCCCGACTGGATCTGAGCACAATGTGAACAAACGGACTATTAGCCGCGAACAAAAGTGGAGCCTGAGTGCTAACTAGGAAGTCTGGTGGATCAGTCGGGAACAAGAAATGGAGGAGGCAGGAGCCGTAGGCAATTATTGCAAGCTCTTCCAGCTGATCCGTAACACTGGTCCCAGGAAACCAGATGTCAGTGCACAAATCAGAGACAGCGCTGGTACCGTGATTCACAATAAGGAGCGTCGTATGGCTCGGTTAGCGGAGCACTTTAGCTAGCAGTTTAGTTGGCTCCCTGCCTCTGGACCTCTTCCAACACAGTTGTTGCAGGCTGAGTCATTGCCAGTTAGTTTAGCGACACCGTCGGAGTCTGAGGTCCGAAACGCGATTACAGCCCTTACTCGTTTTCCTGCTGCCGTCCAGGATTACCTCGCACCAGAAATATTTAACGATGGTGGTGATGTCCTCTGCAAAGCACTGACCTTCCTTTTCGAACAGGTCTGGAAGGTAGAGACCATCCCAGTTAACTGTAGTGAATCAATTATAGTGGCAATAAGCAGGAAGGGCAATCGCACTGACTGTGCTAATCACAGGGGCATTAGCCTAACGCCGGTGGTGAGAAAATTACTGGCTTCAATTCTCGTTCGTCGCATTACTGCGGCGCGCGAATCACGGATTAGTGGAGAGCAGGCAGGTTTCCGCCCAGGACGGGGCTGTCTAGACCACATATGCACTCTGCGACAGGTGCTAGAGCAGCACCACGCATACCGCTTACCGCCAATAGCTGTGTTCCTCGATTGCAAGAGTGCGTTCGACTCAGTCGACCGCTGCATTCGGTTCAAAATGCTTGCGCGGAGAGGTTTGCCCAATGAAATATGTGCACATCTCACATGTTCTGTACTTCATCACGGCAGGCCGCGTCAGGGTCTACGGTGCTTTGTAGGATGCCTCTCTAACAATAAATGGCCTTCGTCGGTGTTGCGCGTCTTTCCCATTTTTGTTCAGCTTCGTGGTGGACTCCATAATGAAGTGTTTCCTTGCAGAGTCTCACGATGCAGGCGTTGCGGTGCTGCCTGGCGAAAAGGTGGTTGGTCTTGATTATGCGCATGATATTGTCCTGCTTATTTAACGATGTTTGGACGGTGCAATCAACCCTGAATAAGCTCTCTAGTTTGGTCCCATCAGTTGGCATGCGTTGCGAAACTTCAAAGTGCAGACCGTTGTTGCAGGACCATCAGCCACTTGACGACCCGTTGACCTTTGATGGCGATGAACTCGAGATAGTTGATCAACTCACCTACTTCGGCAACTGCATCAGCAAAAACGGGCGCATTGAAGCTGAACTCAGTTTATGCATTGTAAAATCAAGGAATACTTTTCGCATCTGCAACATATTTGGAGTCATGAAGGGGTTTCCTTCCGTCTAAAAGGCCATGAATACAAGACCACAATGAGGGCCTTTCTACTCCATGCAAGCGAGGCCTGGCGCCTCCAATCTGAGGATCTGAAGCGCTTTCAAGTATTTAAACATCGTTGTCCGCGAAGCAATGCTGATGTCGGACGGCACCAGCGAGTCCGCAAGGATGATGTTCGTAAGCGAGTACTGAGCAGTGATAACCAGGCGAGTTCTTTGGCACAACAGATATCACTGAATAAGTTGCGTTGGCTTGGGCAAGTGCAATGTATGCCTAGTCACCGCTTAAAGAGGAGGAACTTGTTTTGCTATTCAGATGTGAGGTGGCGCAAGACCCGAGGTAGGCAGAACTTAACTTGGTGGTGGGAAATGAAGTCACTGACGAGCCAACTCGGTGCCATCCGTCCGTCTTGCTTTCCAGGCTGGAGTCCACGTGGCCCGCCTTGTGCTTGGCTGGAGACTTTACAGGACAAGGTTCGCAATCGACTCATTGGCTCCTCTGCTGTCGTCTCCTAGTCACACTGCTTGTTTAATGTGTGTTTGGTGCTTACTTATCTACGGAGCAATGGTTGATTATAACCTGGAGAAGTGAAATTCACAAGGTACCTGTCTCGCCGATGCCGCCTTGTTTTTACACGACACCCAGCTGTTTGTAGTGGTATGTTGTTGACAAAGTGTAAGCGCCTTGACCCCGAGTGTTTGTTTAAGGCAGCAAGGTTTTAGGTTAGCTCCTACTTCTCTCCCACTTATTGTTTTTCCTTCCGTAGGTCACGGTGGTTTAACAACAGCAAGCAGTCAGTTCAAGTTGCTGATGTATTGCTTTTGATGATGATGATGAGGATGATGATGATGATGATGAGGATGATGATGATGATGATGATGATGATGATGATGAGGATGATGATGATGATGATGATGATGATGATGATGATGATGATGATGATGATGATGATGATGATGATGATGATGATGATGATGATGATGATGATGATGATGATGATGATGATGCTGATGATGATGATGATGATGATGATGATGATGATGATGATGATGATGATGATGATGATGATGATGATGATGATGATGATGATGATGATGATGATGATGATGATGATGATGATGATGATGATGATGATGATGATGATGATGATGATGATGATGATGATGATGATGATGATGATGATGATGATGATGATGATGATGATGATGATGATGATGATGATGATGATGATGATGATGATGATGATGATGATGATGATGATGATGATGATGATGATGATGATGATGATGATGATGATGATGATGATGATGATGATGATGATGATGATGATGATGATGATGATGATGATGATGATGATGATGATGATGATGATGATGATGATGATGATGATGATGATGATGATGATGATGATGATGATGATGATGATGATGATGATGATGATGATGATGATGATGATGATGAAGGTCATAATGATTGCACATAACTCAAATCAACTTCAGTCTGACAATGGCATTCTCCAATACTGTAAGGTAAACTTCCTCCATGTAATGTAGATTCTGCTGTTCCAGATACTTTAGAAAAAAGCTCTGGCGTAGATAATTCTGAATGGGTTAAGAACGCCAGGTTTCTGTTGTTAGAGCTCGCATTTATGGATCCTACTCGTAGCTGCTAGTTTTGTTTACGTTCCGTTTCTTCACTTAAGCATGCACCACGGTACACAAGGACCGCCACTTTCACCTAATAGCTCAGAATGGGATCCTAAGTACAGTTAGTAGGAGATTTACCATCAGCGGGCAAACCGGCAACCAAGGTCAACTAAACCACGGGCTCGGATGAAGAAGCATGCCGGAAACAGCTTGCCACAGACCAACACCGTTTTAACCAAATCTTCCAAAGACCGAATATGAGCCGGCAGCTTGAGTGACTTGACCGAGACGCGGGCACTATGCAGAGCGGTTGAATAGTCGCAAAGTAGAGGCGGCCGATTGAAATCAAATGGCCATCCTCAAAATAGATGCAGGATGCATTTATGGCTTAATATTCACTTTTCTCTTCAATGACAAACTGATCCCCTTGTCATGATAATCTGTGGTAGTGATATCTGTACGGTAGGTTAAACGATCAAAATCCTGGGGTGGATTTACCCAGCCACGGTTGCTCAGGTCCCTGCGCGGTATCCATTTTACCTTGGTTGGTGCCGTCATCGCAGTTCCATTTTATATTTCCCAGACTTGAGTTAGATTTTTTCACTGAGATACCCCATGTTCCTCGGAAAATCGGTTAACAAAAACTAACAACCAGATCATGCCCCTTCAAGGTGTGCGTGTGCCTCACGCGGTGGCCGGTGAATACTTTATTACTTTGTAGGCTCGAAAATGTCCTGACGACGTTCGGCCGAGATTTTCCGGGCTTAGTTACAAAAGATGAAATTTCCGGCCAACCTGCCACATATCCTCACTACCTAACAAAACGAGGCTCATTCCTAATTGCTTATTCTCACACCCAATTCTTTCTCTCCAGTGTTGCTTTGCACAACACGCACTAATGGCTACAATCGTTGCCTTCAAACCACTCTGGCCTAATCACACTCCTCAGTAGTGCGACCAACGGGAATCGGAAGTTTGATTTTCTCGTATCCCGTCGTATCACAACTCTATATTGTCCTTTCTGTCGCGCTTGTTAGTTGACCCATCAGCTGACGTATCAAGTGCAAGACCGTTTGTTTAATTGAAAATGCACTGTTTTTGTTTCCCTTGTCATAGTGTGTGTTTTCCCCTACTAATGCTATGTCAGTGTAAGTGGAAATTGTTCAACGTACTCCCACACAGGTGCGTAAAGATTAGCCTGACTTGATTTGACTTGACCATCTGTCTGCACGGCAGCTCTGTCAGAAGGTAAATAAAACCAGTTTCTGGTCAGTTTGTCCAGTCATTTCAAGCTGTCAGTGTTGCAACATAATCGGTTTCCTTTAGTTTTAACTAGTAAAATTATGTATATTGGAACTCAAAGCATGGAGAGATTAACGCACCTGTTCTAAGTAATGCAGCGAAAGATTGATGTACTTTGCTTCCGCCAAGATGGTTCCATCGATTCCGGACTTGTAGACTCGTTCTGAACTAAAAGGTGCCGATTAACGTGTTGAAAATAAATATGAAAACGAAATTGTACAACAAACACGGCGCCGAATAAACGTAACCACAAACCAAACAACGTAACGCAATTTGTAAAAAATGGACGTACGCAAAATGCAGCGCTTCTTGGACTGCTGAACTTTACCTTCAGTCTGCAGCCGTAGAGGGGGACAAATGGTAACAAAAACGTCTTTGCTGTTAGTATTTGTAAACTGAAATACGATTCTGTTTAGTGTATCTCGCTACTGAAAACATAAAACAAACTACTGATGTCTTCTGCCACCTCGTTATGTCAAGAAAGATCGAAGTACCAGCCCTAAGCCCAACTCTGCAAACGGCAAGCTATGGGCGCTAGTTTATCTTATCTGCAGCCTGGGTCACCCGACGGAATCCATATCTTCGCCACTTGGAGCTGAGACGTGGCAGCCAGTAAACTGATTGGCGGCATCTGGTTCCGGATTTGCCTGTCACTGTGGTAGCCACAGGACGCCTGTGCTTACAGAGGGACCATGGGTAGCTTGAGTTGCACCAAGCACAACTCCATCCACACACCCCATATCCAGTGTAAACCCCAAGGAATAAGACCGGGTGGCATGTGGATGGGAGCCACGTTTCATCAACGGAACCGGCCCACACAGCTTCACAGGCAAAAAGAAGCACGGTGTATGTGGGGAAGCAAGCACACACAAGACGGTGGCTGAAGCGTAGTCCGCTCCACCTTGGTTGCATGGAAACACTTTTCGAGCCTAGCGCGGTCACAAGAACCGTGCATCCCGAACCCTCTAACAAAGACCAAATGTCTTCTGGAGTCAGTATAGACGAGGTACTAGGTAATAGACAAGTAGGCGCCTTGTCATCATTCGCATCCGGGGATGTTAAAGAACAGCCAAGCACTTTAAGGAAAAATAAAATATAATTTATATCGGATAAAGCATACGAAAATACTGACATAAATCCATGCTAAATGAGCATATGTAATAAATTAGTTACCAACAACTAAGGGATAAGTACATGACGTCAGAAAATATCTACTAAAAATTAATGCCACAAACTAGAATTTGTTAGCGAACTTAAGTACAACTGGCTTAGGCATCGTGTGCAAGTTGAGGTAAATGTTAAGTTTAACTAAAAGAGGATATGAATTGAGACACGATAGCAAACCCACCACCTGAAACAAAGAAACTCAGCACGCAAGCACGCGGTTAGTAAATCTAATGCACTGTACCTACCAGCGCTGCGCCGGTTATGCTTACGTTATCAACGGCACCCGTCGTCGTTTCGATGCTGGTCCCGAATGGCCTCGCTCGTGGATCACTAGGCCTGACTCAGACACTCGCGACCGCATGTGCTACAGCACCATGCGCCCGATGTCGATGGAGTACAACCTATCGGTGACTGTCGCTTCCGCATTTTCCGCTTCTTCTCCGCATGCACGAGGGCTTTCTCTTGCATCTCGGCAACGTCTTTAGTGATTAGATCGCGCCATGCACGCCGATCAACCGATTCGATTCCCATGACCTGCAGTCAAGATTAGAATGTGAGGCTCACTTTGATGATGTCCTGGTAACGAAAGTTCGGTCTCCAGACGCGCCGCTTCCTCGCACACAGCTGACCATATAATAGCTGTTTCGGTATCCGCGTCGAATCCATACGGCTCACATGACCGAGCCACCTACACTGTCTCAACAGAAGTATGCAGTCGACTGCATATATCCGACTTCGTCGTAAGAAGTCCGTGACTGCAACTCTGTTGCACCAACCGATGCGCAGAACCCGTCGCAGACACTGTTGGTGAAACCGCACGAGATATCGCACGTCACGCAGGCACATCGTCCAGGTTTCGCTGCCGTATAGAATAACAGACAGCACCATGGAATAGTAGACCATCAACCTTGTGTTGACGGTGAGGTGGTGGTTATTCAACACTCGTTACTCTAGCTTCCCGAATGCGGTCGCTGCCTTCGAGACGCGGATACGCCGCCCACTGTGTATTTGCTGATCAGTCGACATCACACTCCCAAGGTAGCAGAAGCGGGAGGTAGTGTCCAATACTTCAGCACCAATGCTTATTGGCAGCAACATTGTAGATTGCACCTCCGGTGAATGCTGAAACACACAGACGGTTTTGCTTGCGTTGATGGTGAGCCTAAATTTGGCCGCCGTCGAAGCCAGAGCACTAATCGTGTGCTGCGACTCATCCGCGCTGTGTGCAAACAACGCACAGTCGTCAGCGAACAGCACCATACGGATAGTTGTCTCATAGACTAGGGTTTCCGCACCGAGATGACGGATGTACAGCAACCCATCATCAATACGGTGCTCCACACGTACATCATAAGCACAAGCCGCATCAAACGCACACCGACATCATGGCATGTAGATAAATACTAAACAGGACAGGAGCATAAACACAGCCTTGCTTTACACCAGAGACAACTGTCAAATCATCCGACGTCAGTCCACTCAGCCGCACTCTCGCCCGCATACCACTGTGCAGACATGCAACAAAAACTTACCAACTTACTCGGACAATCAAAGGTACCCAACACCAGCCCCAATGCATCGCGGCTCACCGTATCAAATGCATTGGCAGAAGCAACAATCAGCGAGTACAACGGCTAGTGTCGTTCTCTGCAATTCTCCTGCAACTTATGAGCCGCAGACACCATATCGATGGTGCATTGACCCGAACGAAATCCTCACAACTCTTCCTCCACTTTCGGCTCCACAACCAGATTGACGAAGCGGTCGAGTAGGATGCAGACAATCACCTTGACCATACGACTCAGCAAGTGCATGCTATGATAATTCGTGCAACATTACTTGCTTCCTTTGCCCTTGTACAGTGGAAACACAAGGACATCCTTCAGCTCAGGAGGCACCACCTCCCCAACCCATACGCGTTGCACCAAGTGGTGCAGCGCAGTCACCAACGCGGGTCCGCCGTGTTTCAATACTGCAGGTGGGATCCCGTCGGAACCGGTACACTGGCCGTTTCGTAGCTGTGCTAGTGCTCTCTGCGTCTCATCCACTGTCGTAGTGTCCGCCAAACTCACCTTCACCTCGTGCTGCTTCAGGCAATTCAAAGTAGACCAGTCAATCTCTGAACGGTTTCTCAAGAGAAAATCAACATGATTTGGCCACATTTGCATGGTTTGCAGTCTGTGTGCAGTTAGCGTCTGAACTACCATCGAGCAGCGCCCTCAGCGATCCCAGCCTCGACCCATACACCGCCTACAAGGAATCGAAGAATTCGTTGAGTTGGAGGCGTTCGACGCAGCATCCCAACTGGTTCGCCTTCTCCATCCACCATGTACTTTTAATGCGACAGATCTCTCCAGTTAGTCGCCGTCGAAGTTTGCCAAACTGAATCTTCTACCCCAACTCACTGAAGTCTGTCACATATGCAGCAAATGTTGCATTCTTTTCATACACCAATGCGCCAGTCGTCACAGTGTTCACTTCAAACCAGTCAGGCAGCTTGCAGTTGCCGCGCCAAATGGGCTCTCCGGTAGCAGCTGTCTACTGATCATGAATGTGGTACCCACAGGTCGCCCACTGTGGCTATGCAGTTCACCTCACACAGGCGCGCAACCATCGCCTTCTCCAGCTTAATACGTTTCGCCACAATACCGAGGGAGAGTGTCAAAGTTACGCCGATTCCCAGCGGGAATGCAATACATAGACTTACGAAAATATATGTGCAGTTTCGTCCCCACCAACCTGTGATCAGTACTACATTCAGTTCCACGCAGTAATTGTGTCATGCGCACTTCATGCATATCACGCTGACGTACGAACACAAAGTCGAGTAGGTGTGCATGAACACTACGTGGATGCGTCCAAGTTGTTATAGCAATCGTACTCAGTGCAAACCGAGTGCTCGTGAACTTCAGGCCGTAAGTGGAACGCGAAGAGAGCAGCCGGTTTCCGTTCGCATTTGCCGAACCAGTGTAATGCGGACCGATAACATCTGTCCACACCGAGGCATCCCGCGTGCGTTGAAATCACCCAGCAAAAATAGTCGGTAGCTCCTCGGCAAAGACTGTATCATGGAGGATAACCGACTGTAGAATTGATCACGCGTGTCATCAGGGTAACACATGATCGGGCCGTACATGCTGATAAAAGTGGCAGACTTACCCCTTCCGAGTAGTAGGCGAACAGTCATCAGTCGAGCATTGATGCCAGTTGGTTCTCCCACCAGTTGACTGTTTAGGCGATCGGACATTACAAATCCGTACCCATGTTCACATGGTACAGTAGAAGGTGTAGCCAGTACCAGATTCCTACCAGTAAAGTAACGGGCTTGAAACCACATAGGTCATTTAATAGGCCAGATGTTTCTCGTGCTGCATGCTGAGGTTGTTGAATATATATTGATCCTTCACCGATTACACTTAAACTAAGTCCTCGTAACCTGGATGAAAAGTATTCCACTAGTTGGTTTGCTTATTTCTATCATCCTGTTGCATATTCCGTGTCAGTTTTGTGTGTTTAGTTGCTTTTAAATTCTGTTTTGGCTGTTTGATATCCCCGGTGTGACTTCGCCTGAGGTGAATGTTAGCAAGGTGCCTGCCTGTGTAACATCCTCCACCTCGATCATACTGGCTCAAGGAGGCGGCGAATCTTTGCTTGGGAGACGGTGTGCACGATCATCGTGAAGGTGCTAGGCTAAAAAGACATTTTCCATCCAGTGTGGAGCGGACTACGAGCCGACCACCGCCCTGTGTACGTCTAATACGAATGATCTCCAATGTAGATAAACAGGAATGCTGCTGCTGTGCATGTTAAAGGAGTATGGGCCGGCTCAGTGGATGAAATGTGCCTCCCATCTATATGTCACCCAAATTATTTCTTCGGGTTTACACTGGGTATGGGGTATGTGGTTTTAGCAGTGGGTGGTGAAGTGTAAGTTACTCATGGTCCCTCTAAAGGCGCGAGTGTCTTGTGGCTGTCCCCGTGGGGAATGCAGTGACAGGCAA